GCTTTTGCTTATAAGGTGTCCTTTCTTGTAGTCATTCATGAAGGCCCAGCTGTGGTGATAGTCTGTCTCATCATTTGAAACTGCTGTAGCGATTGTAGCCATTCCCAGCACTTGAGTGAAATAATTTGCCTTTCAGCTGCACCCATTCCTTGGAGTAGTGGCCCTCAGAGCAAGATGTTACAGGAAGCATCTTGATTAAATGCAACGTAGTAGTCAAGAACAGCTTATTGCTGTTGGGATGAGAGAAACACTATCTTTGGTCAAAGAAAGAGCAGAAATCTGCCAGCTGTAGTTTTCCCTATTGTTCCTCCTTAAAGGTGGCAGATCTATATCCTGCTTAACAATTTAGCCGTCTCTGTTTACATGGCTGAAGTGGTTGAAAACAAGTTTAGAATAAAAGTGTGTATGCAGAATTCACATACTGGCCAATAAGAGTGGCTGGGGAAAAGGAACAGAAATACAAGTTGGTCTTTTGGAGATCTTAAATTAAAGTTTAGTTTTAAAGGTGTAAAATAGTTCTGCTTGTCAAACTTCAAATTTTCCCCCTCATTTGCCTTTCCACAGCCCTGTAACTATTCTGCGGGAATAAATTCTTAAGGAGGTGTGAGAGATGTGACAAGAACAGGTTTAAGAAAAACTCAACAGGATCAAGTGGAGCACTGCCTCTATTCCTTTGGATCTAAACCAGGATATGTCACCTCTGCCAGCAGCAACCAGTGACTGTAAAAACTTTTTTTTTTTTTGGTAGCAAAAGTGATTGGCCAGATGAATTGATTTTGTTGACACATGACAGTTAACGTGTGAAGCGTGCTGTTTTAAAAATCAAAGTCCATGTATAGGTTGGCTCATTAGATGTAAAGGTATCAGCATGGCTGCTGCCATTTGGGCAGACTTTATTTTGGGGTGAATTCATTAAATCAAAAGCAGGGCTTCTCCTGTATGCTCAACTTTGCCATGTAACATGGTGAACGTTCTGCAAATGAATCTGATGTGATTTTTTGGCCCAAATAAGTTTAAGGAAAGCTAATTGGCCACTGTGAAGGAAGTATTTGCTTTCAGTCAGATGAATAATCAAAGTTCTATGTAAACAGTAGAAACCTTGCTTTGCTAAACAAATGTCTATATTTGGATAGCATTACTTGCTAAAAATAGCTGCATATAACTTTGGAAGGGTATCATTACGGAAGCCTTGTGAGCACCAGTAAAGCTGAAGCAACTATTCTGTGAAATGGTTTTAAATTGTTAGGTGGTTTTCTGAGTGGTCATGGACAAACAGCTCTTGTTGCTTTGTGGAAAACAGAAATTGAAACCCAAAATGCAGGACAGGGGAGGAAGAAACTAAAGACTAATAGTGTCATTTGTAAAATATTTGTTTTGATTAATCTTTTAAGAATATAAGAATTTCCTTGTATAATCACATATAGACCGCCCACCTCTACAGAGGACCCAGACTATTTTACAATCAGAAAATAGTAACACAACTGTAAAAACAATAAACGAATCCAATGTAACCTAACTAGCCTAAGGCAGCCTTGTGTCAGCAGGGCTGATACGCTCTGCAGAACAACAGTTTCCAAGGCCTTTCTGAAGGTTGAGGTGTTGGCGGGGGGTGGGGAGGGGAGGGGTA